TTCGGCAGCTTCCTCCACAGTCATTACTGATGGTCGATAGGTCCCCGATGGGACTGACAGTTTTATTGCAGTCAAAAACCGAAGTGTTGTTCGTTCCAAATAGGCTGTGTCAACCGGTGGCACTTGTAGAAGATGTTCCCTCAATGCGCCAGGCAGCAGTCCTTCGATAAAACGAGGGCGTATAATTTCTTCTGGCCTCGGGATGTCCAGACTAGGGAATGCTTGGATTGCTGTCTGCTGTAAAGAGTGGAGATAATCAATGTGGCTTTTATTCAGCTTGTGATGACGCGACAAAAACTGGAAGGTCATCTGCTGAGTGTCTACCGTCAAACAAAAACATTCGTCTAAACTTTTCCAGTTTTAAGAGGATGAACTGCATGCAGTAAAACCGTTGACCGTCGCTGGTTTCGCTGCTTCATCATCTAAGTAAGACAAGAGGTATTCTAAGTGTTCCATCGTCGGGACTTTACGTAGACATGTCAATACTCTGATTTTCCAGATATCATAATCTGATGAGTCTCCTAACAGTGGCGGTTGACGGGGCGTTGTGCTGTCTGCTACCTTTTCTCGAATGACCGGCGGTTCATAATAGTTTTCGTCACGTTTTGCCATGGAAACCTCCATCATTACTTGTAGCAGGTTGTATTAATGTTTATTCGGAAGCAGGAACGATCTGAAACAACAACACAACAGTCAGAACTGGTAACTGCCTCTGACGTGAGAACACGGCGTACTGGCACAACAGAGATATATTTTAAAATTGAAAGACGCGGTCATGTTACAAAAAGAGAAAACTTATTACAAAATAGTTTTATCTATCGTTCTGCAGGTTCAGCTTCCGTAGAGCTTGATCCTCTCCTTCCAGTGCGCTTACTCTTTGTTGTCCTGCAATAAGAAAAACAGACTCGTGTTAGTAACATCACATGTAATGAGTTTTCCTACAGTTACGAGAAGACAAATTAAATCCTTCCTAGAAACCGCATGTGGCTAATAGATCCGAATTTATTATAGATAAACAAATACTATTCTACGGAATCAACGAATTCTTTTGCTGTGTTTGATAATCGATGTTGCAATCCATCGTTATCAAAAAGCCGACTTAAGACCCGTGGTTGAAATTGTAGACTTTGCATTATGCGAAATGATTTCATTAGTCTATACATCAACATAAATTTTTGTGGAGTGGCTTCCGGGCTTCTCGTGTGGAATATATTCACACAATCAATCGTAAAGCCAATAATACAATTGTACCTCAGCTTCATATGGAACACTGTTTAACCTATCAACATTGGGGAATCAATAATTTCCACCAATTATTCCTGCTATTATGGGTAGACTGTTATCTATTCAGCGTAAGATTGGTGTTGAAGCTTGCTATGAACCAAATATAACCGATTTCCAGGAGTAGGTTTCTTTAGAGCGATCCGTTATTACACCCCACTATAATCTATACTATCAATATACGCGATAAAATTTATTTGTATTAGGTACTCTCACAAAATTCGACTGACTGCACTCGTTCAATGATGGTACTAAGTAGTCGAATACGTAATGAGACGGGAAGATATAGTTTATATGCAGTTGATAACAGGAAGACAAATGTGAATCCGAATGATGATTATTTGTACCAGATCGTTTATTTAAGTGGTCATCAGCTTATAAGTAAGGTAGACAATGAATGGGACACAGACAAGTGGGCAGGCATATACAGGAAAGCCGAAAATTAAGGATGTATAATTTTAAAGCGCTGCAGTTATTAGTAGTGTAGAGTTATTGAGTAAATTAAAATGAGTCCGTTGTCACACATCATGAGATTAACAATATCTGCACGATAGTAAACATAAATTTTCGTAAGTGTATAAGGGAATTCTACTGTTCCTCTGTACATAGGAACGAACATAACCACTTTCTATTCAGGAGCTTGTTTTTCCTCAGTAAATGAACACTGGAAGAAAATTTATAGCTTTCGGGATAAACTAAATATTTTCTGAGAGGTTTTTCGTCTTACATATACTACTACATGACGCTTAGCCTTAACTCCATTTCTCCACAATCGATAAAAACCACAAGGAGCTAAGCGTTTTATCATTTCAATATGAGGTTGTGGGGATTGTCAAATTTTATTTACTCCATGATTCATTTGATTTTTGACGATCACTGAAAATTTTGAAGTACTAGACAGCTGTTCCTTAGTAGTATGCGGCTTATCGGCTGAGCGAATTCAAGAATTTGGACCCAGTAATCAAATCCGAGGCCTGCAACCTTGAGATCGAACACAACCAGTTGACCACTAAGACGAGGTCCAACCTCAGACATTGGTTGTATTGTTGAATAATCAACACTCTTGTGACGAAATATGACAGTGGTATTAAAACTTTAACAGTTTAACAGCTTAGTTGCTTAAATGTTGATGTCGATCCTCTGGATGTACCTAAGAATTCCGCCTTTATCAACAATAGAAACATGGGTCTGCCCAACTTATGCTAACAGTCTACACGCTCTGGTGACTACAATTCATTTATTCTTTGTTTTGAAGAATGGTTCGATGATTCTGTTCCCATTAGATTCCCATCCTATAAGTGTTTTTCCCGACTCCTTGAACAGCACCGAATCAACTCACTGTGTGTGGAGCATTTTCTTTTTCGGAACAGGGGTGCAGCAGCAGCTCTCTTGAATCCATTCTTTTCTGTCCAGCTGGTGTCTAATTGGTTTCTCTGATTACGAAAACCGCGAAGTTTTATCTACTCACTTCCGTGTGATTTAATCGAATAAATTTTGGTTCGTCACTCCTAGGTTCAAAAAGAATATTGGCATTTTGGTAGTTACAACTGTTCTTCAATTCACTAGACGGAGTTTGGACGATCGAATTTATTTACTGCGGTTAGCGCTAGTTTGGCAAAATTGTTTTCTATGGGATGGGGATGCCAACACCTTGCACAACGCTCCATCTTTGCACGGGTTTTAGTCAGACAATAACAACAGAAGAGCTATAGGCGGAATTTTATTGGCGCCATGCATATGTTATTTCTGTGCGAATTGTATTTTGCCATGCACAACTTACTAATTCTTATAGACTTTTAGTATCCTTCAATTAAGTTACGTCAGTGAATCATTTCTCGATATATGTTGTTCAGAATAGCCAGAATGTTCAATTTAGCTGTGATGACCTTAAATGTTTTATCGTACTCAATTCTGTAATTTAAAAAACCATAATTTCTCAGACTCAAGTGAACGTTGCATTCAAGGGTTCGAAAACTCAAGTGTTGAAGCAGTAATAACTTTCTTTCTACAGTGAGAAGTTAGGACTCCTTGTCACCCAGTGACTTCATAGCGATCCCACAGAATGTCGTCTGGAAGTATTTCGGTGTCACAAAATGTGGATAATGGCGAAAGTGATTTGTTAATGCTGGTTTTATTTCGCGCTTCCATTTTCACATGTTGTACATGGTTTTATTTCCAGAGTTATCAATTACCTGCAAATCTGATAAAAAGTGGTACTTCTCCCACTTACAACTATTGAACTAATATTCTACGTTGAACGGGATATTCATAGAGTCCTCGCGAGCTGGAATGTCTTAACATCAACAAATACATAGGGAACCATTCAAATTCCAACCCTCTCATTGGTTCGCGCAAATAACCTCCTAGCCGGATTGAGCTCACTGACCCTCGATGCCGAAAGGTAAAGTTTCATAAGAAGCGAAAATGACTCACTTAGGTCTTAAAAAAACATCAAATCAATAAGGAAACGAGCAGTAGACGATGTATTACAACATCTGCCAGAATTTCGTCAACTCAATTGAAAATAAACAATCTGCGTTATCTTTGAAAATCCGATCCAAAATATTTCCTCGGAGCGTCTTTTAGGACTAGCACTCACAGAGGCCTAGTAAACTGATTTAAACAAGATTGGGGATACAGCCAAATTAGATATACCTCTTCACTTCATGCGAAAACAACTTGGCACAGTCACATCCAAACTTGTTCCTATAATATTCAAGACGTATTGACAGTCTCAGCTCGATCTCGCAAACGTTGATGAACCCAGCCTGTACAAAAGAGATATCAGTCTCTTATATTCAGCACAAATATGAGTGACTAAGTGAATGTTGGCGTCAAGAAATCAAACCTACGGGGACAGATGTAGATATTTGGTGTTATTTTCGCCAAGCTACAAGAGAATAAAGAATTATCTAATAATGACGCACACATGCCATATACTTCAAGTCATCAACGTCTTAATAGAACATCAACACTACAACGCTTAAGCTAAGACCCAATAGAGTTTATATCAAAGGGCGAAAATCGAGGTATTCTCACACTTATTTCTCATTTGCAGTCCCTCCCATTCAGGATGCCCTCCCAGTCGAGATTATTACAGCTTCCCAATGGATTCCCTTAAGAAGCGAATTGATAAACGCATAGTGTTTAATCGTTTACTTTTAACCGCTTGGAATGGCTGTGCTTGATACATGTCTTGTAACTTACACAGTACAATAGTTAACACAAGTCAGTAACTCATTCCCATTTATCTTATTTTCACATTTGTTTGAATTTTCTCTCACAATTCGGCTTGCTCACACGGGCTGGATCACAATAAAGTAACTAATTTATTTAGTCAACCACAGTAATAAACTTCAGCTCTTAGTAAGTGTATTTTATTTTACAGTGTCACTAACTCACTTTGCGCCCGATAATCTAATGTTTGCTGGTTCCAGAAACCACAATGCTTTGATAAAAACGTGTTAGCTCAGATTTCAAAATAAAATAACCCACAAATAATCACGAAAATGGGTAGAATTAATGCAGTTGAGTGGTTAAAGTACCTTCTACTGCACTTTGGTAAAGACGTGAAGCGTTTTGATTCAACAAGAAGCAACTTCAAAAAAATCAATTAGTCGATAGCAGACAGTCTTTTGAGTTATTTTATAGAGGATGTGTTTTAATTTACAATTTTCTAATAAGCACCATATAAACAGAGTGACGAAGATTCAAATTTTATGTCGAAATCCACAAGTCGAAACAAGCCAGAAAAGGGAAAGAACATCAATGCATCTTTCATCGTTCAAGACGTGATCCCTGGAAAAGCTTCAGAATCAGAATGGTCAGCATGAAATTATTCGTTATCTGTTCAGGAATGAGTTGATTGAAGATGATTTTGCTGAAAAGACATGTTTTGATATCACCAAAGATATAGTTGATGAAACACTCAGTGCTATATTCCAGATATATTTAAAGGACCAATTAATACCTTTTACAGTTCATCAAGCATCTCTGTGCCTCATGCAATACATTGACGTAAATAGCGCTATACAATTTTGTATATTAAAATGCGTAGTTGGAATTCATGTCCTGCGATCAAGGAGAGCCTTATATTAATCTTAATCCAGAGTGGTTCGAAGATGAACGTACGTGCTGGTTTTTATAAACGGATCATGTTTGTTAGTTGCTGAATCAAGTAGAATAGATTCATGGGCTCAAGGAGCGATTTCAAAGACTTCTTATGCAAAGATGTCAGACAATCTACAACCCCAAAATAATCATCAGGTTTTACAAAGGCTTCAAAATAGTCTTATTCACAGGTGGGTGCTTCCGTGTTTCATTTGACGAACGTATTTTTTGTCATGAACATAATGCTACTTTAGTAGTTTTGAATACGCATAGTATGATAGTTGAACTCGTGAGTCATTTAAAGCTAGACCACCATGGTAAACCTGGATGCACTGCACGGCCGTTTCGTCCTGACACGGAACTCCCCAGCAGTGCGCATCCACGGTCATGCCCGTGAGATTTTAACTCAAGACCTATCACTATCGCACGCGAACGCTTAACCTCTAGACCACTGAGCTGGGATCCAATGGTACAGTTGTTGATCGGAAAGCGAGGCAAAACAAAATGACGTGCAATGGAGTAGGCGAGTATGCCAACTCGATTTTACCAGTATTTATAGCCAGATAAAAATAAGCCACAAACATGTGATGAGTAAGCTAAGAAATGCACACACGCATGGTCATAATATGACTTAAGAAAGATAAATAAAGTAGCTTTTTCTAGAGCTTTATGGGCTAAACATGGCGACCGACACTAAATAGCTCCTTGTAGAAAACAGCACATTGTTTAAATTAAATGTTTGATTTCAAAATAACACTGAAATGATGTATGGTTAACGTTATCAATACTCAGCAGAAAAGTACTATATCCGATAAAGTATAGTGTCCCGTGAGGGGTGAGTATATTATAGGAAAGTGTTATATATATATATATATAAAAGTACGTGCGTATCGTAAAGATGCGAATAAAATGAAAGTGTAAGCATGTTATTATGAGTCAATTAGTAGGCGTACAAAAACGTAACATGCATTTATGCCTTCTGAAATACTACAAGTACTCTCGAGTTTTGCACGTAAAATAGGCTTGGATTAAAACCTTCTCGCTACACCACACTTTTTCTATCATGTTGAAGTTGCCGTGTAGGTTTTGCCTAAAGTTATTAGAAGAGCTTAGAAAGCTGATTCAGGCGTTCAGTTAGAAGACTTATCAGATCATCCTTAAAGAAGAAAACACTAATATTCTTGTCAATTTGAGGCTGACGCTAATGATGTTACCCACGACATTAGTGCAGTCTTACAGTTAAACTATACAGTTGTGGAAACGTACGTACTTACAAAGTTCTACGTTGTCGCTAGCTGACTGACTGATCCTATTATTAATCATGTCTAATTTTTCTTTAACAAATCAGTCGATTAGATAGAATGATAAAGTGAATGGATAACTGAATTAATCATAAACTTTTAGGCCTAAACTGAAAGTTCGAAACGAATAGATTTCAGAAGAGAGAGTCATGTGAGAATATATATAAACATGCCTTATGTAATCAAAACATTGGCAGATCTTTCGGCTAAAGTAGCACGACTTTAAGTTATCTATCTCTGGATGACGAGCAAGGTCAAAGAGTAACCAGTGATCCCTCACTTTCATCTGTTGCAAAATATGAGTGATTTCAAGGATATTGTTGAGACCCGAAACCAGACAAATACCTTGTTACTACTTAGAACTCCTTAATACTGTTGAATTTGTGATGTCATATGGAAATGATCCCAGGTTCGTTAGATCTTTTAATGTTCAAAAAGAATCATTTGTATAATTTAAACAAGCAAATTCAAGGTTAAAAACGTTCCAATTTATATATTTTATTTTATTATTTCAGAAACGAAGATGTCAGTGACAATAAAGCTATTCGTAAGGAGCATATCGTTGATATGTCTCATAGTGAAAATCTCCACCAAATATCTATTCGACAGAAGAAGCCTCAAAAACTGAAAAACGATTTTAAAAACGGTAAACAAATTCCTTAAACATCTAATACTATTCATGCAAAAAACAATCGCTGAAAATCGGAGATCACTGGTGTTACAAATAAATACTTCGTCCTATCTGTTGCATCACTTCGTCTGAGCTTCCGAAATTCATTTCACACTTATTCAGTATTTATTGGACGGTTAACACACCACTGAATCCCTAGTTATTAAGGTTACTTAACTTTGAAAATATTCATTGGAAAACAAGGTGAACTGATAAACATCTTTTTCACATAGTATCAAAATGAATCAAATTTACCTGCTACCAGGTCACTTGTTATTTAAGTCCATCCTAAACAAAAATGTGTGGGTCAGTATTGCTTGTTTCAATGAAAACTGTACACTAGTACTAAAAGCTGGAAGATGCTGATAATTAAAAGTTCTACTTTCTTACTTGGAATACTCATTATATGTTCTTAAAACAATGACATTCTTTGAAAGTTCGAAATTTACAGTTCCCCTTGTTCATTTTTATGACAAGATGTGATATACTTTCGTTTATTTGTGTCAGATAGTATTGATAAAGTCTTTAGTTTCAATATGCAAACATTGTTATGGAGGAAACTTTATTGTGAAGAGCATTAACGTTTTTGGGATGATTGTTGTTAATAAGTGAATTGAGAACCGTTGAGAATCAAGACGTATTATCCGAACTTGAGGATATGAGCACCAATGACCATGCAGAAGATTGCATTCAGTACTATTACACCTGACAACTACCATGATAGCTTAAGGGCATTCAGTTAAACTCCAGTGTTTCTCACCTTGACTTCTGTTGATCTGTAACATAACACAGTTTTCATTCAATGATTTATATAAGCTCATTCTTAATGTTTTTATTTGCAATAGCATCATCTACCATCGTAAAATGAGCCACTTGTCAGTATGATTTCCCGTCTCCACTACTCAGATCGTCAATCGACCAGCTTATGTTGGCACATTTGCATCTTGACTAGATAGTCATTATACCTGGCATACAGATAGAGGTGAAATCAAGGATTCACATATCGTCCTTATCAATGAGTCATATCAAGGCAATCTACTCAGGGTGCACACATGGGATCCGGGACAGATCAATCCCAGTCCTGAATATCAACAACCGGGAATTACAAACCTTGTCTAATGACTTCATACCTTTTAAAGAAGTTACCTGCTATATGCCCTTGGTAGCTTAGTGGATAATGACTTTGTATTTATAACGAGTTTCTAGTCTCACTGTAAATATCAAAAATATGATGCAGGCATATCTAATTGACAAGTTTCAAATAGGATGAAACTCATGTCCGTAACATCGCTCCTAGCCATATACTAAATGTAATAAAACAAAAAATAAATCGTATGGTTATTTCGCTTTTAAATGATATTGGCATCTAATAAACTTTCTTTTCAATTATAGATCACACCCGTATGCCTACCGATCGAGGAGATTCCATCCCTCAACTAACTAAACAGTTGAAAGATTCTACATGGAAAACATCTATAGAAAATGTTTCAATGGAAGTGAGATAATTTACTAATTCTTTTTTCAATTTCTTCAAAAGAATATCTCAGTTAAAAACGACAATACCAGTAAAGAATATAGTCTAACTAGAAAGAAACCAATGAAACCACTGCCTGAAACTATGGTAATTATGGTCATTGTTGAGTGTATATACTAAAATATTCTGTCAGTTTTGTTTATTGTTAGATGTGTGATGGCAGACAACAGAAAGCTTTGTTTGATTTCTGACTGGAATCCTTTTTATGGGTCATAGATAACCGTTGATGATAAGGCTCACACTAAAGAGAACCGATTACCTAGTGATTCCAGGTTCTCAATGGCTGTCTAACTTTGGTCGGTCTTGTCTTTTTTTCTACGTACATTAAAATTTGAACACTTAATTTCACCGTTTCGAACATTGTATTGGCCATCTCTCAATATCATTCATTCTGCCTCGTAGTACCAGCAAATTTTGGATATGTTACATCAGATTACACGATAAAGAAAACTAACTTTGATATTTCAGTTCAGTCCAGTTGTAAAAGACAAAGAATGCGATCATTCATAATTTTTAGATAAAAGCGCAAACTACTTTTTTATTTGATAGTAGTTAAACAGAACTAGTAAAATACTGTCTCAGGCTGAATTGGAGCATTTTCTAAAATTATATTTAGCTACAAAACAAACGAATAAATGGATCTGGAAAACTAGTTTTCGACGATGAAGGAAATCTACTCAGTGTACCTAAATTATATCCAGTCAATAAGAGGCAAGATGAATCATTCACGACTGATTCACATTCAAATGGAAGTGATAATAATATTTTGGGAAATAAAATTCCAATTCAATGGCGTTTTGTATCCGAGTCATACTGTAACAGTGCAAATAACAATCAGTTTGGCATAAAAATGAATAGTAAATTAAGAACAGCCAGATCGTCCATATCGAATGTAAGTTTTGTCTTTTCTGTATGTACTTTCTTTCTATCCGATATTGTGTTCTAATAGAATTAATGTTGGTGGTGATCGACTTGACCTCAGAGGCTTGATGCTAACTGGGACTTGTCAATAACACCAGCCTGTACTCTTGAGAAAGACAGTCCTGACAGTTGGACATGAATACATATCAACCAGATATGTAAACGTAAAACTCACCGGGAAACAACTGATATCCTGAAGGATGAAGAAATGTTTGGATTCTATATAGCTTCTTCTTCTTTTACAAAAAATTGGCTTATGAAGGTGAAATATCAGTTTCAGTTGAGAACGTTTGATAGCAGACTTCTCTGTAACAATACTTGATGTGGTAGAAATATCATGTGAGCAATCATAAGATTCACAGTCAGCTTCTGTGTAGGAATAGTTACAAGGTTGGTGAAACTATAGACCTGTGGTAATTGAGATGTCTGAGTTATGTTTCACTCAAATCTAGATAATAGTAGGATTGATGAAGCCGGGAAACCATGATAATTTATGACGTTGATGATTGTTGCTTCTAGTAAGATGATATTTTGTTATAAACATTGAGCGATCTGACTCCAGACGATCGATAATGTAGCAGTCGTAATTATTTCTAAGGTTTCATCTGAATCACAAGTCGGGTTTTATCCTATAATTCTCGATCTTTGATCTCATTAATTTCTGTCAAAAGTGCCATTCATTTAAAGTTTCCTCTGAACGGCGACATTAACATAATTCCACCTCGTCTTCTCTTCAGTTCATTTCAATTCGAACATGGAAATAGAAAACAATGTTACCAGTAAGGTGAATATGAGCTGGTGAAACTTGATTCTCCAAATGTGACTTGTATCCACGTTGACTAATATCACAGTTAAGGAAATTATTATTGATCTGTTTGAACCGCAGTCGGCTTAATATTCGACTGAAATCTTTTCACCAATCAATCATGTTCTCCTGCATTTCTAACGACTCACTAATTCTGGAAAGAACTAAACTTACGTTTAACTAATACAAATTTAGTTTAGATTGATTGTCCGTATTTAATCTACACATACTCCATGTCCTTGTTCAGTCAATCAGTGATGATGAAAATAGGATCCGACACAAATATGTTTGTTTTGTCACACCTCAATGATAAACGCACTAAGAGTAAACTGACAAGATATAAATGAAAGTAGTTGAAATAACAGTAATAAAGGCATGTTAACTGGTTGGAGGTAGTCGGTAGTTAATCGTTGGAGTAGACTTCATGTAGGCTATCACTTGTTAGTATGAATAGAGAGGGTAGTTTCATTCTTCATGGAACTAGTACCTCGTGTAGGATCAAAACTTGTATCAATCAGTTTCAAGATCTAAGATGCTACCAGTAAGATATTCGGGTCACCGTTCTACTTCATTGATCATAACTCAGGAACCATATTTTTAAATAAGAAATGCAGAGTGTGTGAATGCCTGAAGGTTTCTCATTTTGTCGTTAGTGTTTAACTTACTTAATTGTTTACATTAACTTATTCATGGATTCTTTCTAAATATAGTTTTCAAATAAAGTGAGAACAAGAAATCGTAGTTTAGATTTAACTGGTGCCACAGTTACACCTGATGTAATACGTCTACAAAAAATTAAGAATGCATGTATCAATTTGCCAAATACCATTGATCTGGTTGATTTAGTGGCTGGAGTGACAATATCTGATGGGGAACATTTAAAAATTGGTCAGTTAACGGTAAGTCGTTTTTACTGACTTATGTACGTTTTCTTGTATCTTGATGAACTGACGCTTAGTGTAAATAGTTCTCACAGATGAACACAGTGTTGCACAAAGCTGACTACATAAATATCTACTTAGTAAATGAGTGTTACATCCACACTTGTTTAGTATTCCTTTAGCCATTGCATTTCACTAGACTTGAAGTAATACAGAATGAGACAGGAAAAGGCGTAGATGATATTCCAAACGAATGAAATTACAAAAGATACGGTAGCAAAAAGACAACACTGTTGCCTCGAAAAGGCAGTGAGTAGGAGTTCCCTGACAGTGGTTGTAAACACGTGTCCACAAAAGAACATTTCGTGAGAAGAGCGGACATTCCTTACCACCGGTCGAATCACAGCATTTTTCCTGTTAAATAAATCAGTTACACATATTCTCCCTGTGAACGTTTTTCAAACGTCTATCATGATACTTAATCGTCAATTCAAATACTTTTATAAAATCGATTTCCTCAAAGTTTTCCGATACTTTCTCTAATCATAATGGATTTGATTAGTGAAGGATTTCAACAACGATCAGTGATCACAATGATTAACATGATCTTAGTGATTGTCAAGAAGACAATCGATTTTGGCTTTCACGAGGAAATAGATTGGACGTATCGATTTCTAATAAATCAAATTTTCAAATGAATCGATATTAAATCTAAAATAATTGTGTTGCATAAATATTTACGATTGGAGAAGTCACACCTTGAAACTATTGAATTAAGAGAAATACTACAACATAACTAGTTGTGGATAGCAGCAGTACACTAACGACCTCATAT